AAAAGAGGCTTGTGATCTGTGAGGAACGTGAATCTCCGACCGTACAGAAACTTGTGGAAACGGCGAATACCAATTACAAGAGCATGAGCCTCTTTTTCTATCTGGCTATACTCCTTTTCTGCTGGGTTTAGTGAACGGGATGCATGCATAACGGCTTTTTCTGACGCATCTGGAAACTGGAAAAAACATATATGCCATATGCTGAAGCGTCTGCTGCTGCGATGATCGGCATGGATGGGTTGTAGTGTGTTAATAACAATTCCGAGTTAATTATAAACTTCTATTTACCACACTCTTTAGTCCAGTTCCATGTGCTATGCTTCTGCAGTAGAAAATTCAATGGAGCGCGAATATCATGCATCGAGGGAACAGATCCTGAATAATAACTGATTAATCCGAGAAAAGATCATGATTCTGAGACATTAGTGGGATTGGGTACAATTGTGACAGCTCAGGTGTTCTCAGGATCCGGTCTGCGGGCATCGGCATCAAAGATGAATCCCAAATACTTTACCGACTGCAGTAAACCTGGCATTTTTCTGGGCGAAACCGGAAAACGTTGTCACTGATGCGTTGTAGTGCCAATATCGCGCTGTTCTAGTGTCTTTGCAACGATTAAGATATCATCAAGATAAGCTGCAACCCCTGAGATATCTGATATGATAGTATCCATTAGTTGCTTGACGGTAGATGGAGCAATATAAACTCTTAAAGGCAGACGGTTGTACAGGAACAAACCACGATTAGTGTTGATAATAAGCAACTCTTTTCATGCTTCATATACTACCACTTGCAAATAAGCATCAGCTAGATCGAGCTTTGAGAAGAACTTTACCCCATTCAGCATAGTAAACAGATACGTTGTGACTGTACCTTGTCGTTGAAGGCGATCCAACTATTCATCTACTGCTACTAATGATGCATAAGGTACGGGTCTCTTTGGACGGAAAGCAGGCTTAGCCTCAGGTTTCAACCGAAGTGTTGCTTTCATGGCAGTGCACCGACCTATTCCAGGCTGGAAAATGGTTGAAATTTCCGTCATTGGCTTCCTCGTATATGATTAAGCGTCACGTGGTCGTGATACCAGGTTACACATGTTATTTAACGCGACATCAGCCAATTTTACCTCGTTGAACCAATCTAAACCAAGTAAATTTCGATCAGCTGGCGTTATATAACACTGATGCTATCCGAAATAGCCAAAAGGCACAGAAATAATCGACTCAGGATCATCAACGCATCCCTCAAAATAAAGAAATAGGACATTGAAATGAAAGTCAAGCAATGCTACGCACCTACTACAATGTTAGGATATTCATCCAATATCCTAAGGGAATTATTGGTCAATTCATATTGGTTAATTACTACTGGTCATTTTTATGGTCGTCCTAGATATCAATGTCACTTGCTCCAATGTTGTTTCGTATGGGTTGTGCTGACTATCAATGTCACTTCAAATGTTACTTCCAATCGATCGTCTTAACTGTCGATGTCACAGAATTCGATGCTGTTTCTCATTCGACCAAAATGTATAAATACGCATTATCCATAACGTTTTATAACCAGGACCAGGACTAAGATTAGGACCCGGTCCCGGAACCCTAGTACGGGATCCTGACTCTCTTCTGGACTCGGACCTCGTGCTTTCTGAGACCTTGTAGAATACATGTTTTACTTCATATCAAGTCTTGTCTTCTTCTCGTTTTCCGACTATGTAAACTCGTAATATTTCAAGTATATCAAGTTCAGGTGTTTACGTGCTGCCGTAACAGTAACTTCACATTCCAATTGTCTCAACCGACGAAGGTAATAACCGAATGATGTAAGAGAATTCTGTGTTGTGTTCTGCCAGCTTGGGTTGCCCAGTTCGGCCGACTTTTCACGTGAATGGATGATGACATCAGATTCAGTATCTATATGCATTTTTAACGGATGTCGATTATTATTGAGAGTAACAAATTTCCTCTTACCTGGTGATGAGTTTTGGCAGGAATATATTAGACTCACTGCATTGATCTCGGATCTAGGAACAGAATACTTGATATTTATGGATCGGTTCGGCTTTCTGTTTAGGCAAAAACCGTCTTTATGGCCGATGACCTTACACTTCTTGTATCGATGTTGCCTAAATGGGCAATTCCGTACATAGTGCCATGAGCCGCAGTGCATGCAAGCAGCAGTGGTATTCATTTTAAACCTTTGGACAGAGCTGGATTAGTATGAACTGGGTGTAGCATGTGCAGATTTATTCTGATTAGGTGGCCGCTGTACCGATTGTACTTCAGGCTTTAACTACCACTCTGAACCATAGTTGAGTCTCGTTGTAGGATAATGAGACGTTGAAACTCATTAGCAATGTCACTGATGGTGAGCTGCGGATCTTGCTCAGGAGGAGGCTGCAGATGAGCATGAGTGCTTTAAACTGATATCCCGACGAAGACTTCAACCGTAAGTGTTCGTATTGACGTGTGTAAGAAAATCATCTCCTTAGTTCATAACTAGCTTCAGGCATCGATGACGAGTATTATACAGTGACGAGTTGTCTCAAAAGTGTTGACTTAACGTCTGAACTCTCTCAGAAAATGAACGACCTCGTGGATTCAAAGGCAGGATCAAATTACAGTACTTGTCCACCTCACTTGCACCCAACTTTCGAAGTAGCAGCCGAAGCTTCCAAACATCATCTTGATTAGCAAAATCAAATTTTAAATAAGTCATCATAACGCTGGAACCACACGTCGAAAGTAACATTGGCGTCAGGATCATAATGAAATTCAGCTATGCCATTTGCGATGCCGTCGACTGACGGAGCTGTGGTTGCATTAGATGAGCTGGGCTGTGTGGAAGGAGGAATCTTCATGTCTGTCAACATCTGCATCGGTTTCAGCTGCTGGTCGAGTAATAATTCAAGTTTGGCAGGATCCTTGTTTTCAAACCTGCCATCGCCTGTTGTTAAGCTCGTTACTAGTGTAGAATCCTTTTTGAATGTTTTGTTTTTTGGAAAATCCCTCCATGTTTACATATATTTGTTATGACATGACGGACTTTTTCTGTTGACATTTTTGGTATTTTATTTGATTCCAATTTGAGATTTTATCATTGTTTATTGTTATTATTTCTATATTTTGTACTTATATTGAAGTTTTTATGTTTGCTTCTGAACTGTACATATGTTGTTTAAATTTGATATAATATGGCTACCGCCACATTTTTGGATTTGATATCGTGCAGTATAGGAGTTCACCTAGACTTCGGAACCTCGATACTCATTCAGAGTAATTTTGAATTGGAAGGCGTAAAATTTGTTAGACCATTTTCCCCTAGAATTATTGTGTTTTTATATTCTAAATCGGAAAGTGCGTCCGACATACGTCTATTGGAATCGAATTGAACTGCTACGGTAGAAAATCCAATTACAACTAGGTACGCTTGAAGCTATCACGGTTTCACATTAGTCGATAAACGCGAACGAGACAATCAACCAGCGTCCGCGTAGGCTACCTCGATTCCCGGTAGGCAAAGGAGAGGTCTTGATGAGCGTAGAAAGTATATTCTGAAAACATCAGCAAGCATAATGCAATCAAGCACGCAACTCTCGTTTATTTATACATTATAGAAACATCTTTGGGACAGTCACAAAAATAGTACACTTAGATGACACTGTAACCTGTAATAACCAAGGATTTCTCTGGTAGGAAATGTAATCTCAAGGTCAACTGGTCAGTCCATGTTCGCAGAAGTGAAATCCAAAGAAAGTAGTTTATCAAGCGAATTCTGGGCATCTAACGCCCCCAAAACTTTTTTCATAAGTTAAGAATATTTCCAATTGACCAAAAGTTTGAATATACATGACTTATCCCGATTCATTATTCACATGCATTTCGACCTTATCCATCGTTCGCTAATACGCTTAGCTGTTTTATACGAGTATGTTCGTGCCTGCTCAATTTTCTTATTGTATGTCTGACTTATTTCTGTCTGAATATAAACTCCATCTAGATTCTTAATAAAGCCCTCATACAGACGGCGTTCGCCTTAGTGTGATATACGAAATTGAAATTATAAATTTATTTCATTGCATACTTGACCGTTTGAGCAGACCACAATCAGATCACCGGCCTCCGAAGTGGGCAAACGTACATCGAATTTCAAGCAGCCACTCATAACTCGATAATTCTTTGAGATTGAATTTACAATTTCGAAACTATGCTGTCAATAACTGAATCTTTTCATGACTGAGTTAGTGATCAAATAGTTTTTTGAAAATGTATCAAGTTATTGTGATGTCTGAAATGGAGATTACCGACGCAACACTCCAGCCAAATCCAACAAAGATTTATTCAAAGTAACCGCTTGAAGATCTTTATTGAATTTTATTCAATTTATTACAAACATGTAAAATGACATTTAATACATTAGAAATGATAAAAATTTAAACAATTTTTCGTTTTTTAACCGAAGATGTGAACATGCATCGAAGACGTCTTTGTTTACCTAAAAGATAAAGCAACAATTTTCGAAATAATGCTTATTAGTTTATACAAATGTCAGCTGGTCATTGCAACTGTAGCGGTGTTAAAGACTGCTTCTACAAAATCCACCATAAACTCCTCGACACAAATTAGAGCGTGAGCGTGTGTTTTTTATCCGATTTAAAATTAATATTCTCAGTAATTCTATCCAGTTGATATTCGTTTAAATAAGAAGATTGAAATTCATTCAGTTTACAAGGGAACACTTGATGGATTCATGCTAAGAAACATAAAGCTACAATAACCATCAGTGACATTTAATTGAATGTATAAGGTGCACTGACTAAAGGCTATAGGTTGATGTATTTATCAACAGATTCGGAGATATGGCGTGTAGTTTTTCTCATATCATCCATCCATTTCATACTCAAATGTGAATTAGGCATTTTATGGCTGTTTTTTTCAAATACACTTTCATTATAAAACGTTTATCTTCACAACTAATATATTCAACTTACGATGTACTGTTTAGTAGTTACTATCTTCTGTATTAAAACGAAAGTCTTCGGAAGTTAGGTCATCATACTGATGATCCAAATTTTCATCTTGATCACGATGTTTATTCTCAATGATATCATCCAAAAATTCATCATTTTCATAATCTTCAGAAGTGTGATTCATTGTATTGAGATGATCTTCATCTTCAAGAGTGTGAGTTTCCGGTTCAGTAGAATGATTTTCATTATAATCCAAATTTTCAAATTCATCTGACATAAGAAGTGAAGTAGAATTTAGACTGTTTTACATTACTTCTATCATAATAATTGCTAACATTATTACTATTATTGTATTTGAAATCATATATATTATGTACAGATTTGTAAGTGGCTAATACAATGACATATTACCGCTCTCTAACTTAATTGAAACGTGCTAGAGGATTTCTAAATGTTCATGAAATCGTACTCATAGAAAGAGGATTGTATTTAATCTACATAGATATTGCACCTATTCAAGAAGCGATACTAGAAAAACCTTTGGGTAATCAATCATATACATCATTTACAACTCAGATTTTAAAAAACCAAACGTATCTTCTACCTAATGTGTCCAAAGAATAGTAGGAAGCTTTAAGCTCCAAGAAAAAACAGCGATTACCATTATGTAGGTCCACAAATATAATACCTAATTAGTTATGAGTTGAAGTGATTAAGGAGAAAAGACTCTTCAACAACTATCTACGTGACTGTATCTGAAGATGGATTCAAAAAATTGTAAAATGAATAAAAGTGAAGTGAAATCAAAGACATGTGAACTTTTAAAAGACCTAAAATCCTTTAGTGATGACTCTTGATAGTTAAATTTGTGTTCTAAATTCAACCTCATTTCATGTTTTTATGGGCTACATAAAATTTGTACATCTCACCTGCCCATAAATTATATAGTGGACATCAGAAATGCCTGAATACATGCTTTATTTAAATATCTAAGCAGTATCCTGAAACCACCTCAACGTGAACTTAATAAACTCGCGATTGATCCACATGAATTCAAAACAACCATCTCGAATTTATCTATTAGCGAGAGACAAATAATGGAAAGTTTCGATGTTGTGTCACTATATACCAGTATTCTAATAGATAAATTTCTGAAATTTAATGATGGTTAAATGGCGGATGATAATCCTGTATCTATCAAGTATCTATCAAGTATCAAGTATAATCGAATTCCTGAAATTATGCTTTGATTTCTACGTTGTTTGCCTTCTAAAATATCTTATATAAACAAGTGAATGGAGTAGTGATGGTAATATGCTCGTCAATCAGTATGCTTGCAGCTGTTACAAGTACACACTACTCGGTAAACGGAACGAAGATCAACGATGCGCTGACACGACAGGCTAATCTAATTCGATTATCCAAAGCCTCACTACTTGGAGGAAGAGGGTCTTGATAAGACATACAGAGAATGTAATCACAAGCATTCAGAAAATACGATTTCCCAAGGCACACAACTCAAGCTTATTTCTACAATGATGAGACGTCAGTGGTGAGAGCCACTAAACAGCATACTATAGTAATCCATCAATCAATGACAGTCAAGGATTTTCTGAATGGTAAATGTGCTCGACATCCGTGAAACACATTGGACACAGCCAGGACAACTGAGAATAGCAACAATGTAGTGTGGGAGAAAAGAAACCAGATTCCAGTGGAGGAGAAAATGAGGAAGAAGTGGATGGGACACATCTGACTGTGTCACAATACAAGCCCTCACTTGGAACACTCAAGGCAAAATGAAAAGAGGAAAACCAAGGAACAAATTACGCCGAGGAATAGAGAAAAAATATGGGAAGAATGAACAAAAATTGGACAGGACTGGAAAAGGAAGTCCAAGACAGAGCTTGTTGGAGAAAACTGGTGAACGGCTTATGCTCCATTAGGGGTAACAGGCGTAAGTAAGCAAGTAAGTAAGTTTACTGCTCACTCTTCAGATCTATTAATTTTGCAAACAAATCGCTCGTTATAAAACATTCATAATGTAAGCCATACATTTATCGAATGATATCGTACCAATTTGATGATGAATTCTAACTTGATTGAAAAAAACTCAATAAGCATAACGTAGTCGGCAAATATGATATTAGTCATTCTGACATTGACATGGATCAATATAGTTTCACATTATTGATTATATGATTACCATTGAGACATTGAATCGTTATTTCACATGATCAACTTATCTCGATGAACATTTCATGTACAAACAAATAGATGAAGTAAAATAGACTGATTTATTTAAAAATAATGATAAAGTGTCATTGGATTGATTGTTTCTACTTGACTTACCTTCCAATCCATGTGTGAATAAAGTGATCATTATGAGATTTAGGATATGATGTATTAATGAAAACTTCATTTACTTTGAGTTCTGTTCAAACAACGTAAAACACAGAACATAAGTATGCAGTATTTGGCATACTTATATACAGTTTCAAAATTTATATTCTGTCTCGATTCAGTCGAATGATTAGCATATTTTTGAAAAACTGTATGTACAATGTTATATTATTTTAATGAACTTAGATAATATAATTAGTTCATCAGAATGGCTAGTCAGATATTGTCTTCTTTGTTAACAGTGTGTGGAATCTTATCTGGACCTTATTTCGTTTTGTTTAATTTTGATAAGATTATCAAGAATAATATTTCTTTGTTCGAACATATCGATTCAAGGAGAAAATCTTTTTCGGATAAATTCAATATTCTAAATATTTGTAGATATTATACACAAATAAATCACGTTCTGACCTTAATGAACGTGTAATGAAATTGTCTAGACTTGGTAAGAATAAGCAAGATGTTATGTGATGTTATGTTCTACATTGTAGAGTAGGTAATGTATCTTTCGAAATAGCAAATAAGAATATTGTTATTCAGATATTTATTAAATGACAGTAAGAGTAAAATTGGCTTAAATGAGGCTAGAGCACTTCTACAGTTACTGAGGGACCTAAGTCCTGACAAGGAAGAGTGTTGATGGATCATCTACTGGAAATCATGAACAAATAATAAAACATCAAGCTTTGCTGTGATCTAAGAGAGAACGGAAAAACTATTCACTTTATTATGGAAAAGAAAAGATTCAATATGGTGATCCTGCGAATAAGTAAAATATTTTAGAAGCAGCGTGAAAGTAAACCAAAAACTTCAAGAAAGACGATATGGTACTGCGAACATGAAGACAAAAATGCCTCACATACACAAGGAGTTGCATTGACGCAGTCCAAAGAATATATAAAAGCAATGAGTCAGATGAGCACACGATCATCAAGACACCTGCCAAATAAAGAATGAATGTTACTCAGTAATATGTGACCATCACCGATAACAGTGAGGAATTCAGAGATAAATTCTGTGCCAGGCTAAATTCAATTGTCAAAAAAGTCTTAACAAACGACCTGAATAATCTGATGGAAGGCCTAAATACCAACGCTGAAATTGACTACAGTGGCTTTGGAGACATCGTGAGACAAAGTGAACTGGGAGAAAGTTATGTTGATGGCGAGAGGTTTGAAAATCAATGTGCCTTCAACAAACTGGTTGTATGTGGTACCCTATTTCTTCACAAGCGCATGAAATAAGCCACATAATTTTCATGGCATCACACTACGGAGAGCCAAATGGACCATATCTGCGTCCATCAGTAGTCAAGATAAACGATGCAGGATTTGAGAATCAGAAGAGGAGATGAAATAGCTTCAGATAATCTTTTGAAAGTATCCAGGGTGAAACTGAGGCTTAAAAAGTACTGTAAAACCGAGCAGACAGCAACACAAAACCATAATATGGCGTTTTTTAGTATACTAACATACTCAACGAATTCAATATCGCACTCATCAAGAGGTTTCGGACCTTTCATGACCTGCTCAGTCAAGAGAAATTTGTAGTGAGGAACAACTGGAAATGGATCAAGGGAGCAGTCCATTCAACATTTCATGCTTTTCTGTGCCAAGAGGTGCACCTTCACAAGAGACGGACATCCAGATGAGAAAAAAGGATAAGGAACAAGAAGGCAGCTATTAGTTAAAGCCGAACAAGGACAGAAAAGGACAGGACACAGGTGGCATACCAACTGATATATTAAGTGTGAATGAACAAAAATTAACAGGATTTCACTGTTCACAAAATTAAATTTTACCGTTCATCTGAAAACATGTGTCGATGATAAAGGCATTTTTGTGATCGGCGGTTTAATGCGTATCTGATTATTTTACACTAGTGGTAGAGCATTGGATTGCTTTGATAGATTTTTACAATTCGTGGTTTAGATGTACTCTAAACATCTCAGCTCATTTGGAACTGTGAAAAGCAGATTTTTTATTCAGGTAAAGGGTGATGATTAGTAGCTGAGTATGTAGTTCAATACGCAATGAAAAATTCTTAGAATGGCGTAACTTTAGATAACTTACAGTAATTTTGGATGTTACTTTCTTGGTTATGTAATAAATATAATTTAAATATTATCGCGATTCTTTGAAAACGTGAAAAGAAGAACTGTTTAATTTGAGAAGGCTATGCATATCCCTTGTCTTGAAGGCAGTATAAATCAGAGAATATGAAGTCATAGACATGAGCGATTAGACAACTACTTCGTTGTAATTATGAGGCTACACGTATACACGAACTCAGGGTAGGCTGCTCAGCATGAAACAATTTATTCAAATTGTGCATGTCGCTGATTTCTGACTTGCAATTCAACTGAAGTCTGTTTGTTTTTTAGGATACAGATACTTGAAATCGACAAAACAGGTCAAAAATATTGCTCAACATTAGATTACTCCAAAATTTTCGCTTACTTACTGTCATTCAATTGTAACCTGCAACAGAGCATAGACCACCGTCTTAGGTGCTCTTTTACTAGAACTAACCCGCCTTCTAGTGATTTCAGGTTTTCAAATATGGTGTAACATTGATCGATACATCATTTCATAATCATAACTAAACGTAAGTACTAAGAAAACTGATACACAAACTCATAAAAATGATGGAGTTGCTAAGACTTTATCACATACAGTAAAACTTTGCTAACAACTTCTTACCAAACATTACCAACCAACACTCTATACTCCTAATAATTTGCCACCGAAGACCATTCACCAGTCTACTCATTCTTGAGCTTTCGTTTTATTTCTTTTATTCTTTTCAAATAAGTTTTATGTTTTGTCCAGCAAGTATGATATGTTTGGTGCTTATTTTGTTGTAAAGAAAGAT